TAATGCCACAGGTATGATACAATGTAACAAGAGCAGAACAGTCCAACTTCCTGTGCCCACACCTGACAGGTTCCACAGCAGCTCCCAAAAGCACCAACAACTGAGTGAATTAGTCTCGTGCAGACCTTACATGAGAACTCTGCTGAACTGAAATAACAATATGCGTTTTATAATGCAAACTACAACTGTTACAGTGTAACTTTTCCATCCTACACTCTTTATAGCCCACACAAAACTATTACAGAAAGTATTCTGCCTGGTAAGTGTTACATTATATATGGGCCCTCTTTACCATCTTGTCTTGAATTGTGATTGTATTGTCTTCCTTACATTGTAAAGTGTTGTGCAAATTGTTGACTCTATATAAATCCTGTATAATAATAATAATAATAAAAACAAAGCTGGATCACAATGACCAGGTCCAGCTTCTGCCCTCTACTAAGAGATGTTGCAGTGGCTCTCAAACCTCCTATGTTTTCCAAAGACAGGAAGTACCCTGCATGCCAAGTGTTACGATAACTATGGAAGACAAAGCTTAGACACATTGATCTGGTCGATGTTCCTCCACCATAAGAGGTTCTGCAGCAGCTCCTAAACTTCCTATTTTTTCCAAAGACAGGAAGTACCCTGCATGCTAAGAGTTACTATAACTATGGGAGACAAAGCTGGGACAGAACAATCTGGTCTATCTTCTCCTCTCACCTAAGAGGTTCTGCAGAAGCTCCCAAACTTCCTATGTTTTTCAAGGGCAGGAAGTAACCTGCATGCTAAGAGATACTACAACTATGGAAGACAAACTGGGACAGAACGATCTGGGTTATGTTCTCCAACCACCTAAGAGGTTCTGCAGAAGCTCCCAAACTACCTATGTTTTTCAAGGACAGGAAGTAACCTGCATGCTAAGAGATACTACAACTATGGAAGACAAACTGGGACAGAGCGGCTTGGTTTATGTTCTCCCACCTAAGAGGTTCTGCAGCAGCTCTCAAACTTTCCCCAGACAGGAAGTACCCTGCATGCCAAGTGTTATGATAGATATGGAAGGCAAAGCTGGGACACAATGATGTGGCCTGTGTTCTCCTCCCACCTAAGAGGTTCCGCAGTAGCTCGTAAACACCATAAGCTTTCCCATGACAGAAAGTAACCTGCGTGACAAGTATTATGACAGATATGGAAGACAAAGCGAAGACATAATGAGCTGGTCTATCTTAGGTGAGAGAAGAGTTCCCAAATGCCATTACTAGTGATCCTGGATGAGCATAGGAAATGAGCTGCATGCACTGATGGGTAACATACACCTTCCACAGCGTACTTAAAAGTGTCACAATCAATCTGTAAGGCAAAACTGGGACTCAATGACCAGTTTGCACCCCAGAGGTTCTGCAGCAGCTGCCAAATTTCCTATGCTTTCCAGGGATTGTTGGTTATTTCAAGAGCAAGTTAAACTAGTGCGGACCCAACATGAGAGATGAACTTTACAGAAATAACAATAAGTGAATGATACGCCAGCCCTGGCCTATAGCAACAAAGCTACTCTGTACTACTAACACCATCATCAACACCAATCTGCTGCATGCACTGAGGAGTAGCGTAGGCCTTCCAAAGACTACCGGGGATGCTAAAGTGTCACAATAAACATGGAAGACACAGCTGGGACACACTGGCCTGGCACCACCTAAGAGGTTCTGCAGCAGCTTCCACACTTCCCATGCAGGATCACTGGGCTGGCAATGGGATAAGCAACCTTCTGCATACACTGATGGGCAAGGCAGGCCATTCATAAAGAACCTGCAATGCCAAGTGTCACAACAAAGCTGGGACACACTGGCCTGGTACCACCTAAGAGGTTCTGCAGCAGCTTTCAAACTTCCCATGCTCACCCAGTAACAGAATGAGCAATCTGCTGCATGTACTAATGGGCAACGTAGGCAATCCACACAGCACTGGGAATGCTCACATGTAATCCATAGAGTACTTGGAAGTGCCACAATAAATATGTGAGACAAACCTGGGCCACACTGGCCTGGTACCACCTAAGAGGTTCTGCAGCAGCCACCAAGCTTCCTATGTCTATGCAGGATCACCAGTAACAAAATGGGCAATCTGTTACATGTACTGATGGGCAATGCAGGCCATCCATAGAGTACTTGGAAGTGTTCTAATAAATATTTTACACAATACTGGGACACACTGGCCTGTTCCCACATAAGAGGTTCTGCAGCAGCGACCAGGCTTCCTCTGCTCACCAGTAATGGGATGAGCCCCGAGCACTGATGGCCAATGCCGGCCATGCACAGAGTCCCGGGAATACAAAGTGACACCACTGGAGACAATTGAACGAGCAGCCATGAGCCGTGCCACTTCCTGCACTCACCCACTCCATACTTCTCCTCTTTCTTGGTGGGGATCCAGCGAGTCATGGTGCCTCCCCAGCCTGTCACAGCCTCCCAGGGGCATCCAGCTTGGGGAGAAGGAAGCCGCACAGAGCCAACGAGAAACAACAAAAGAAGAAGTGAGGATTACAATGTAACTTTGTGAGCAGGAGGGAGGAGGGGGTTGGGGGAGCCCAGCCCGGCTGGCGTGTCAGGGATTTCCTGGAGGCGGGGAGGAGGCACACAAGGTGTGAGCGTAGGGGACAGCGGAGGACGGGACACTATCTCTGTGTCTCCCTCAGGCCGCCATTTCCTGCCCCCCTCCTCTCCTCTTTGGGCAGCGATAGGGGGAAAAAAAAAAGCAGCTAGAAGTTTGTTGGGGGGTCACGTGACGATGAGGTGACGTCATGGGCTGGAAGCGGGAGAAGAGGGGGGGGGGAGGGGGGCTGGCGTTGTTCGCTGAGTTGTTCTGTGGTGAGTGTCACTGAGGGGTGCTCTGTGTTCCTAGTTTGGGTGGGTGACAACTAAGTCTACCACACGACCAAAGTTTTACCTGCCACAGTGGAGAGGACAGGTAAACCAGTGCCAGAGTAACCATGGGCCTTGTGCGTGAGACGTGCCCTGACAGGAAAATGGCTCGTTGCCCATTGCAACCAGTGGTAGCACTATATGGCAACTGGTTGCTAAGACTGATGAGAAAGGCAATGTAAACACCAGCATGCGTTTGTTGTTTAAACTTAGCAGAAATTGTCTAAATATAAACAAATCTCTAAATGTAAACACATCTCTAAGTATAAACAATTATCTAAATATAAACAAATCTCTAAATATAAACAAATACCTAAGTGTAAACAAACATTATTCTTCCCCATCTCTCAAGACTCCTTCACACCAGCCCCCCCACAGTGACGTTTGTTGACTGGTGTAATGGGTAGAATGAGACCGCCATACCATGAAAATCCAAAATGGTTTAATCACTCAACTGATGATAAAAACAACAGTAGATAGCCAACGTGTTTCGGGGGCTACAATTTTCCACGCGGTGTCAGCCGCTGGGAACATCATTACGTGCGTGGCGTCATCACGTATGCGCGTAATGACCTAACTTGTACTTAACTGCCAGCGCCCATCATCGAGAGAGGAGGGGACGTACATCCAGCAGGATAAGGTATGCCACGGGGTCCCCATCTCTCTTCTACAGCTGACTTTTCAGAGGGGTTGTGTAGAGATGTCACCAGCACACCAAAATCCTTCTTAGGATAAGCAAATGTTCATTTATTGAAGCTCCTTGTCATATAAACAAGCACTTTTGGGGCCACACAGGGTACCTTCATCAGGCTTAGCATTGACAGGGGGGCTAGGAGCGGATCACACAGGCCCCTGAACACCCCCCCACACACACACACACACCAGTGGTCTCTAATGTTGCAATAGCGTGCTGGACTCTGGACTTACCTGAGACCCTGCAGAGCACACCATAGATCCTGCATAGCCCACCTGTGACTCTATGGTGGGCTGTGCATGGTCCCAGGTGGGCTGGTTGTCGGGGTCCCTGTACCTCCTCCCAACTCTTCTTACCTGCTGCTGCTGGGGCCCAGCCTCCACCCCCTCCCCTGTCACCTCTGCCATGCCGCCCCTGGTACAGCTGATACCCATGTAAGAGGCCCAGACCTCTTGCATGGGTACCGGCCATACCCCCCTGATGGTGGTGTTCTTTCAAAGTTTGTGACTATGTTAGAATGTGTGACCGGTGACGTGGTCACACATTTTAAAGTAATCCCGCCCAGTTTTTTGGCGGTGGAATGTGTGACCGCCAATAGGTAAAGCATTCCAAAGCTTTCTCAGCTGTTCCAGAGCAGATCGGCATAGCAGATGGTATGTGCAGTAGAACTGATCTGCCCTGGAACAGCTGATCGGTCCTGAAATGTCACTTATATCCAACTTTGTCAGTGCAATCTCACATTCCACCGCACTCACAAAGTCGGATAAAAGGGACATTTCAGGACCGAACAGCTGTTCCAGGGCAGATCGGTTCTCCTGCACATACGATTTGCGATGCCGATCTGCCTGGAACACCTGAAAAAGCGGGGCAGGATTATGTTACAATGTGTGGCCACGTCACCCGGTCACACGGTCACACATTCTTACATAGTCACAAACTTTGACAGAACAGAGGCCCTGTTTGTAATCATGTAATTAGAGAAATAGATTATAATAGGGAACATTACAGTGTTATGTTCCCCATTATAATCCACTATTCTAATTAAATTAAATAACCGCACACAACCCGCGCCCCCGTAGCCGCTCGGACTCACCCAGCCAGAGCATCAAAGGATCGCAGCCAGATGGTGTCGCTGTGTGCACTGCAGGGGGCGGGGCGTGTGACACACACACTTCTCTCCCGCCGCCTGTTACTAGGGACGCGGCCGGGAGCGGAGAGTCACAGGACCCACCCCCTTACTGAGAAGCACATTGGCAGTGCAGGGCCCCGGTATTCTAGCACCGGGACCCTGCACTGCCCCATATTCCACCGGGGGGTGCCCAGGGCCGGACCCCACTGGGCCCCCCCACAGCCTCAGGGCCTGGGGCAGCCGCACCGGCTGCACTGGCGGTATTTCCGCCTCTGTGGCTGTATTGAGATTTCTATCTTTCCTCTGTTGTGTTTTGAAAAAGGTGAAGAGGTATTTGTAAATATGTCTTTTTCAGTTTACAAATCTTTTCTGTTCACCTGTCAGCAATAATTATGCCACCATAACTTGGGTTAAATGAGAACAGTGGGGTAACTGTGGGCTAACCTGCGGGCACAGCTGGCTCTGCCTCTAGAGAGACAGCCAGCTGGGTGGAAATCGATCCATCCCGTTTGCAGCACTCTCAGTATATAGCGGGCAATACCTCGCTATATACTGAGCATTAGGTCACAGGAGCACACTAGTATATACTGTATCCTCCCATGACCCAATGCTCAGTATATAACGAGGTATTGCCCGCTATATACTGAGAGCTCTGCAAATGGGATGGATCGATTTCCACCCAGCTGGCTGTCTCTCTAGAGGCAGAGCCAGCTGTGCCCGCCTCCTCCCCGTCCGTTCCTCCAGTCAGCGCTGGAGAGGGCAGGGGGGAATGCCTGTGGGGAGCGGTGACTGACAGTCAACGCTCTCTGCAGGGAGATCGAGAAGAGAGCGAGCGACGGTATGTGTTCGCTGACTTCCTCATAGTTCTCCTTTAACCCCTATTGTGCTATAGAA